AATCCAAAGTATCCTTGGTCTCAGGATATCGACTCCCATATTGTCATGTTATATATAACACATATAGACATGTATATATGTGGTTGACAGTTAAATAATTTAATATTATTAAGTGAAATGAATATACTATATCTCAACTGAGTTTGACCCAAGAAAAACTGGAATAACTTTTTATAGGAATGTGGGATAAGGATGTCAGAATCATCCTTAACTTTGACTGGATCATATGTAAAAGAACTACTTGTTAGTATATCTGACATTTGCTTTTGCTGTAAACAAGTTGTATGCTCATATGAACAAACACCAGAAATAGACAGGTGCCCACTACGTTCCATGATAATCTTCTCTGGGACCACCTTATTGTACATCCTTGTTACACCTGTAGCTCGTAAGCTATGATCCAAAATACCTCCAGCATCTAGGCCTGCTGCTTCAGACATGACCTTCAACTTTGTTTTGAAAATGTTGTGTCCCACTGGGGTATTATAATACCACGGTTTATCATCTTTCATGTGTTTTACAGGTACAGGCCTACAGTAGAACAATTCTTTTTTGAACACACTTTCTGGCAGTTTTGCCATGTAGAGCTCCACTAAAAACACCAAACACCTGTTACCAATTGAACTATTTGCATAATGATGTACCACCTTGTTGTCCAAGTGTACCTGATGCATCCCTCCATAACGATTTTTCGAACCATTTTCAGTGTACGTCATCCTTTTAATTCTTTCCGATGGTAACTGTGGATTTTCTACTTCATCTATCACAAACTGTGTAACCTTTAAATTATGGTGCTCTTCTCCACCTCATAAACATAAAAGAATGCCGCAAAGAAAAAAGACAGCATTCTGAAGAGCTAGTGGAGAATGACACCCCATCACACTGCTACTCCAAAGCTTATCTTCCTCAGCAATTGATACTACATGTGCCTGATTTTTACTGGCTCCAACACCATCTTTATGAAGTTTTCAAGACAGGTTATCAAGAGCTGTATGAATTTGTTTAATCCTTTTATCCTTGGAGTTCATAAAATTTAAGCACTTTGTGTCTTTAACTCGAGCATAGTTCTGCTATTAGTATTTGTAAAACAGATTCAGGCGTATAAGGATTTCCGTTTTGTCGTTTGACTTTGAGACAAAAGTGGGACGGCATTGTAGCCAGTTTCGAGGCATCTTTATTAGACCACAGGTCCTCAACATGAAATTGATCTTCCTCTTTATTTGCGAAATCTATCCATGCCTCAAATAACCTTTACAGCCCAGTTTAGAGCAACGGTAGTGTTCTTGGGAATTGCTTTTTAGCTGCTACTTCTAGTTCCTCGGTTGAAGCAAAAACAAAACCGGCTATCTGGCTTTTATGAAAGAGACTGCCTTCTCCTTTTTTTGGGAGGGCTTTTTGTGTCCATTAATAGAATAAACAGATGTAGAAAGATCCAAAGAACTCGAGTCAGAACAGCAACTTTACTTACTTTTGTCACAAGGTCACACTGAATGCCTTACCTACTATGCATGTGCAAAATGGCAGATTAAAGTAGGTAAGATGGAAGAGGTATTAATTATACCATATATCGTATATAGTACACCAGTCATCTTATACAGAATATAGAACCCCAGTTTTGTGTCCTCAGATGTGATATAGCCCTCGGGCATTCAGCCCTTGGGCTATATCACATCCTTGGACACAAACCTTAGGTCCTATATTCTGTATATAAGACGACTGGTGTACTATGTGTATATATTATACATATACACATTGTACATGTACTCTATTGAGAGTGTCTGTGTGTGTCCATTGTTTGCAGTTACTGGTCTGCATAGACTAGCCTGTATCAATTTGTGAAATCTTCCCCTATTGACTATTGTGGTCAAGCCTTTGTGTAAACAGTTTTTAATTACCACTTGTAGCTTTATCTCTCTCCATGTCCATGTTCCTGTTTCACTTTGTTTTTGTTTATACAGGATAAGCTTTATAACTTTATGCATGTACCTGTACATGATTATAAAGAATGTGAAGTGTTCTGTGATTGATGAGAGAGAGAGGGAGGGAGAGTTTTTAATGTGAATTCTTGGAAATAGCAATTTCAGTTAGTGTTGTATGAGTTTGCACAGTTGAGTGAGTTTGTGAAGTAAAGGGAATGTTTTTTTACTACTTCCTAATCACTGTGTATGTAATGTGGTTTCCTTTCCTTTTTACGAATCCTTTAAGGAACTTTATTATTATTATTATTATTGTTTATATCTTTGTCGTGTATAGAGGTCGTCCTCAGCATACAGTGACACTGACAGTGGGTCTGGCTTTGGAGGAGGATCTGGGGCTAACCCTTTTGGTGATGATGATAAGGAACTACTAGTGGAGAGGGAAGAGTGAGTCCCCCTCTCTCACACACACACACTCTCTCTCTCTCTCTCTTTTCCCTTCTTCCTTCCCTCTACCTGTAATGTCCCCTTCTTCCTTATTTTAATCCCCTCTACCTGTTATAAATACATACAATCACGCTTCCCCAATCACATCTCTTATTCTTTTATTACCATATAGCCGGAAAATTTGGCGGTCTAAAACTTTGGTGGTTTTGCATCAAAACTGCCTAAATATAATATTGGCGGTCTCTTAATTTGGCGGTTTACTATCTTGCCTTTTCTTTAAGCATTCTCAGCTCTTCTTGAAGCTGCTCCTTGGCAGTCCTTGCCCACAGTCTTGACTCTGTGACTGAAATAGTGAGAAATACTGCCATTTTTAGTATGATGGAACCCACCCATAATAATTGCAATTATTATTGACGGTTATAATATTGGTGGTTTTATTTTGAACTGCCAATCCACCAAATTTAATTATCCGCCAAATTTTCCGGCTATACAGTAATATTTTTGGATTCATAATACATGCACCTATCCAACAGTGATGCCTCATTTCAAGCTTCATTTGTTTGAGTCATTGCACTTTTGATTACTGTATGTGTTTTTATCTTCATGCAGTCCTGGACTATCCCCTGAAGCTCAGCTACAGTTACAGCACGACACCTCAGAGGTTGAAGAGAGGGAAAGACACATGAGACAACTTGAGGTATGTGTACATGTACATGTACAATTATATATACATGTACATCCTTGAAGAGAGGGAGAAAGAGAGAGATGAGGAAAACCACACAGTCATCAACTCATCATCCAGTCTGACTGCAATCCATCGAATCTAATTTAACATAACCAGTAGCAGGGATGCCTGCATCTAAATACCAACGATCCATTATTGCTTAAATTTATATAATTTAGCCAATTAATGTAATACGGATATACACGTTTTACTCTAAATAGATCACCTATAATGAAGGAAGCATCAAGGGATCAAGGGGATATGTTGATAGTATAATTAGTATCTTAATGTGTTTTTGAATTATAATATTGCACCTGTATCAGTGATCTGACTGATCTTATACTACACTCATGCATTTACGTTACATGTACATGTACTCCTCCCCTCTCTCTCTGTCTCTCTCTCTCTCTCCTAGACTGAGATACTGGATATCAATGATATATTTCGTGACTTGGGGACGATGGTCCATGATCAAGGGGAGATAATTGGTACTTACTTTTGTGATGATTGTATAAATATTTCATAGTACATTCCTGCAGACAATATTGAAGCTAACGTTGAAATAGCTGGGACTCGTGTTGAGAGCGGTAATAAGCAGCTGGGGAGAGCAGTGAAGCACAAGGTAATAAAGAAATAATCATGTTATAATTATTCTTTTTAATTTTATGTCTATATTTTCTCTCTTTTTTTATCTCTCATTATACAGAGGTGTAGCAGGAGACTCACAGTATGTATTCTCTGTATATTACTAGCTGTAGCTATAGCTATTGTCATAACTATACTGATACTGGTTGGAGTCCTGAATGGCTTTAAAAAGTGAAGAGAAGACATTTTTTTCTTGGTCACCACAACTTTTCTATTGTCCTTTCTCTCTTCTCTTTAACTTAAAACTTTGCGTGAATATTATTATTATTGCATTCTTCTGCACTGCTTTACCAAGAGATAATGTTATATTGTTATTATTATTGTTGTTGTTGCTTATCAGTATCTTATATACAAACATTGTTGCTTTTTTAAAATCTTTACTTCAGCTGTAACAATTATTATTAAAAGATAATAAAATTATTATTTAAAAAAATAGAATTTTGTTGCCAATAGCACCATTTTCTGTAACTAGCTAATTACACGGGGCATGTCCTTTTCGCGGTTTAGAGATCATTCGCGAAATTTTTCACCGCGAAATTCTTCTGAGAAAACTTAGAAATGCAAGATTCGCGAAAATTTTTACCGCGAAAATAAACCGGTATACGGTATTTAATTTATTGAGTTGATCAGTGCTCTATTAGTACAAGAACCCTTTCCGTCTCTCTCCAACTAATCTCAATCTCTGATAGCTGGATAGGCTTGAAGATAGACATCGAAGCAAATAATACTTTCATTAAAAGGTAACTACAAATTTTCAGTTCTGTAACAAGCCCTTCCTATTTGTTATTTATGGCTCTATCTACAAATTTGTCTATGTATTGTTTATGCTTAAGATAAACTTACTGATTCTATTTATAGTCATTTTAAATAACAAGACTCTTCCATTATGATTAGCACAAATTGCATATTTTAATATGGCACTATTTGTCATTAGTCCGCATAAATAATAGATCTATGTGTTGATAATTTATACACGCATAAGATTCCCTTTTACCAATTATTATACTTGTATGCATATTCGTATGTGAATGTCCTTTCACTGTGCTTATTAATGTTGTTTGGGATATGAGATGACTTACATTCACAACTGGAGCCAGGATTGAGCCTTCCGGCACTTTCCATACAGCTTAATAGAGCAGCCTTCCTGCACCTTGTGCATACAGCTATCTTTGTCCATCTCCATGGCCTTCTTCTTCACGTGGTATCAGTAGTTCACATTAAGGCCATACAGCTGAGTATCAGGCCCGCCTCTAATGGAAACTATGAATCTTATTGCAGTGGCCTGATAATGACAATCATTATCACCACCTAGGAGCCATGCACCATGATCAGAGGAGTCCCACTGTCAGCTAAAACGCTTACTAAAAGTTGTTTTTCGTCAGTTTACTTCTTTATCCAGCCCTCTCATGACGAAAGTAATAATGCATTAGAACACATCAAATGATAGATTGAAAGTTTTATTGATTTAATATGTAGGAAATTTGTCTTAAATTCTTAATTCCTGAGATATGACAGCTCAAAAATCACTTACCGTGTCAGTTTAGTGAGTGTACACGAGGTGCTGCTTATTAGTTTATACGAGGTAAGAAAGAGCAGCCAGAGTCTTTTAAACTGTAGATGCTTTGAAACAAGTTTGTATGCAACAAATAGAGCCTAATTATTGTATCATAAACTGCGTATAAGTATACAAAACTAAAGCTTTTCACTAGCATATCCAAGGGGAGGCTGAGGGGGCTTGAGCACCCCCCTCATGGCTGGGTTCAGAAAAAATTACTCAAATTTTGGACTCTTGCATCACTATGATTTCAGCAGTTTCCAGTGCTTTAAGGAGCAATCAGAAGTCGTCAGAAGTACCAGTATGCTTGAAAATGAAATTATCTTGACCACACCCGTAATTCACAAAAATGAAGGAAAACGCTGTTTTACCACTGTAAAAGGGGGTGTGATCAAAATGGTGGCGCGCTTTACGCACACGCCCTCAGCACCCCCTTTTCCAATTTTTAGATACGCCCCTGCTTTTTATCAGTAAATGGCATGTGTATTTTCTGACGGTTGAATGTAATGAATTAGGCAGAAAATAAGCTCCCATATAAATTTCATTACTGTTAGACTGCACCACCTATGGGTGGGGCTTGTGGGCCAGGGTGGGAGTAAGGGTTAATATAGTTAGTATGTTATGGGAGGGCATTCCAGGCATGCATTACTATGTAGTAGGTGGTGCTTGATTTGAGCCACACCTTAATTGCTGCAGCAAGCAATGTAAAGCTGAGCAAGCTAACAGTAACAGCAAATCATCAGCATTCTCTTTAAAATTTTTGAAGAACAACATTAATGTTTCATTTGTGTTATGTTACACTGATTGTGGCAAGGGCATGTGCTATAGTGCACTCGTTACCCAAGCCATGCGTAGGCGTGAAGTGAGGGTAAAGCAGTCGTCGTGTCTGTGTGTGTTTGTGTTGGCTTGACCTCCACTTTTGAGCTGACACTGCTTTTTGTCTAGTCCTGGAGAGCCTTATAATCAACACTGGCTCTAGAAAAAGTTATTCTCCGTCTTGGGAATGCTTGATTTGTCTTTTCCGTAGACAAAGAAGCTGGCAAAATTGCCAAACGTTGTTGGTTTCCCTGCAGCTCTTTCGTAGTTAGAGCAAAAGAGCAACAGCAGGGGTGTAGGAATAGGGGGGGCAGGGGGAGCAGCTGCCCCCCCACTTTTATTGACATGGGGGCTATGCCTCCCCCCCACTTACTTCACTGGCTTTTTTGAAAATTACACCATTTCAACTCAAAGCATGTATACCAATAAGCACTTCATAATGATAATGCACCAAGTCATTCAAGTCAATTTTAATTTCCCTTAAATGCATGGTTAGCTACGAGCTGAACTAATTCAAGTTAGATAGAAATATTTAAATTTTAATGTGAGAAATTGCATGTATCATTGTCAACTGTGTGCGGTGCCTGCCCCCCACTTTTCAATAGCTTCCTACACCTATGTACAGGGCAGATAAAACAATAAAGCAAAGCCTCATCTTTCATTAATATGAGAGGAATTGCTCCAATCATCTTCATTTTTCAGTTATGATAGCCCAAACATTCATACCTTGTGAGTTTACACGAGGCTCTCTTCTCCAGAAGTAGCGGCCAGAGTCTTTAAACATTAGGGACTTAATAGGTGTTTGTATGCAACAAATAGAGCCTAACAAATGTATGCTAAACTGTTTAAAAGTTGAGAAAAAGTAAAGCTTTCTTTACCACTTAGGGTAAAGCATGGCTTGTTTGAGCAACACCTTCATTGCAGCCACACCTTTACATTGCTGCAGCATGCAGCAGTGCAGCAAAAATGTTGGAGCTTTTTCTCTGTCTAAAACACCAAAACATTCTCTCTCTTAAAACACTCACTAAGTTGTAATAAATTTAATCAGGTAGAGTTAGGTAGAGTACAATGTAAATGGGTGCTTTTACATTGTGTAGCTAATTTTTAAAATTGGATTTAAAAATTATTAAAGTTGCTTTAAAATTGAGCCAAAGGATCTTTGGCCAAATTTTGTCAAAAATGACTAGGAGAGAAACCTCCAATTTAAATTTTTCCCTGATGTATATACATGTTTTTTTGTCATTTTAAAGTTTGAGCTCATTCCAATCAAAATTAAGAAAATTGGCTGTACTGTAGTAGAGGGTTTTAATCAAAAATGAATAGGAGAGAATTTTTTCATTTTTATAATTTGTATAAAAAATATAAATTAATAGAATATAATAATAAATTAATAATATAAATATAATATAAAATTAAGTTAATAAAATATAATAGTGGAATGCTTAGAATGTATTTTGACTTTTATCATTGTTTTTATAGCTATATGTAATTGAATTATTAATGTTTTCCTAGTAATAGCTTGTTCTATGCAAGATTAAGATATCTTTGGAAGTCAAAATAAATTTGAGCATAAATTTATAATTATTATTAGTAATGTGTGGGCGTGTGTATGGTATATTATTGCACGTTGTGTGGTTTCTGTGAAATATTATTGTCACAACAGTGATGTTATCATTAGTCTAAACTAGCAATATCAGGATATTGGCTCTATTATTATACAGTTTATATTATGTGTGATATTTATTATTACATTTGCCATACTGTACATACATTGTGTTTGTGAGTGTATCAGTAGTATATACACTGGTAATGTTGTGATTATTTTTGAGCAAACAGTTTTTATGAAAAAACTTTCAATTCTCTTTATTATCACTTTTCCCTTAGCCTTTTAAAAGTTATTCCAAAATCAGGCCAAAGACCCTGTACTATATAGTACAGGGCATTTTTATGAAAATGGCTCAGAAAATTGTTCATTTTTATACTTTTCCTAATTTACTCTTCCTAATACATATGCATGTTTTTATGTTGTTTTGAAAGTTTTTTGTCCTATTTCAATAAAAATTGAATTTTTTTACAAATTTTTAAAGTTGCTCAAATGGGGGCAAAGGCCCTGTACTATAGCCCATTTTTTTCAAAAAATGGCTCCAAAATCACCCCCAATTTTTATTACATTTTCTGATACATATTGATGTCCTTATGCTGTGGAGAAATTTTGAGCTGATTTCGACAACAAATTCCTGAGTTATGGGCATTTTTTAGAAATAAGCCAGAATCTGAAAATTACACTGTAATTAAATAGTACATAGCCCTTGGCCAAATTTTGCCAAGAATGACTAAAAATTTTTTATTTTTTGAGCTGATTTTAATAAATTTTAAAAGTTACTCTAAAATTGAACCAAAACCCATAAAGGTCTCTGGCCAAATTGTCAAAAGTGACAAAGAGAGAAATCTTCATTTTTATATTTTTTATAATACAATATGCATGTTCTTTTGTCATTCTGAAAGTTGAGCTCATTCCTATTAAAATTTGAATTTTTTACAATTTTTAAAAGTTACAGAATTTAGTGTCAGAATTTAGTATAGAATGAATGACTAGGAGAGAATTTCTTTATTTTATTTTCCAATTCACTATACATGTTTGACATTGTTTGTATGATTCTGCATGGCAATATTCACATATTAATACATTTGTTGCATTATTTTTACAAAACTTGGTTTTATTCTCATCATGATTATATATTAATCTTTGAAAAAATTTTCCTTGTAGTTTTTGGAGATGTTTCTACAGTGTGTCATTCTTTCCTTTGTCTTGTTTTTATGCACTGCTACTACAGTCCGTAAGTACATGGGTCATTTTATACTCTGCTCTAATTTTTCTTGTTTTGTGATTGAAAAAAAATCTTCTAGAAAATTTAAATCATTTAGAAAATTTATTACAAGACTGTTTTATTAATCCATTTCAAATTAGTAAAAATTAAGAAGAAGCAAAACAAAATTCATTGCTCAACTGCATGCACCATAATATACTGCTTAAGCACAAAGTGCTTATTAGTAATCAATCATAATAACTATGTAAATGTATGTAGTAATAATGTGTGATTCTACTGTGTTATTTTTCTTTCATAATTTACATGTGTGATACTGTCTTTTTAACGACCTGGGGGCGTAGCCCCCAGGTCGTTCCTATAATTGATTTCACCCACGTGCGATGTTTGCATATATAATATCCACACTTACATTTCTTCTATACATGTTGTATTGGAGAAATAACAAAATTCATAAGCCTTAGCAACCACCCGCCCACGCTCCTTTACGTAGTGGGTGTGGTCACGGCAAACAAAATGGTGGCTTAAACTTGGGACAAAGTGAAGAGCTTTCTAACAGCAAGATAACATAGAGATACTGTCTAAAGACTTCTCTAGAAGCATTAGAAGGTAGATAGAGCCTCAATAAGTCTTAATAAAATCCATTTGCACTTGCAAGGTGGTGAAATCAATTATAGGAATATTTTTTACACTGTTACGCTTGTTTAAAATAATAGGCAAGGGTGGTGGTATAGGAAGATCAACCTTATTCCAGTGCCGTAATGGAGGGATTGATTGGAGTATTAGCAATGGTGAATCACCGCCATTCCTTACCAACATACAACAGGATGCCGATATACTGAAAATTAATAGCATAGTATATCAACATGAAGGAAACTATACTTGCAATGGTGATACATCTCAGCTTATAGTACTGGGTAAGTGAGAATGTATTTTGAAAGGTTCAGTGTTGCAGATTGGCCTATAGCTTTCTTAGTTTATAATTATTAATGGGTAACTCACTCCAACTTTAGGTGGTGCTTCAATTTTCTATGGTGACTTGATGTACATAAGCTATACTATAGTCCATGGTTTTTTCCAAAAAATGGCTCCAAAATCACCCTGAATTTTTATTAAATTTTCTAATACATATTGATGTCCTTATGCTGTGTAAAAAGTTTGAGCTGATTCTAACTTCAGATTTTCAAGTTACAGCCATTTTAAGAAAATGCCGAAATTCTTAAAAATACCCAAGACTATAGCCCATGGTTTTTTCAAAAAAGTGGTTCCGAAATCATCCCAAAATTTTATTACTTTTTTGATACATATTGATGTACTTATGCTGTGTAGAAAGTTTGAGCTGATTCTGACTTCAGATTTTCAAGTTACGTACAGCCATTTTAAGAAAATGGTGAAATTCTAAAAAATACTCAAGGCTTTATACACTGTGCACTATGCATGATCCCTTTACCTGTGTTTGTTTATAAAGAGAACTCCAGTAATCACTTTGTTTGTTTTTATGCTATCATGCTGTGTAGAAATCTGTCAAGATTTTTCTACATTTTGTCATGCATGTAGGCAGCAAAGGCATGCTTGCATAGTTGTTGCATTTTTGCTCCCACTTTCCTGTTTTTGTATGGCCCGGCCTTGTGCTCCTAACTTAATAACATATCTATTTATTAGATCGACAAACTGACAACCGCAATCTCTCTCTCTCTCTCTCTCTTAGGTGTTGTTAAGTTTCAAGGTTGCTCTCCATACCAGAATTGTGACTTAGGAGTGACCAGCATGCTACCTGAGGGACAGCCAATCCCACTCAATATATCATATGACTTTGTCAATGGAGGGCCAAGAGGCGAGAATCAAACAATTGCATCCTTACATTTCAAGCAAGATGGATCAAATCTGCTTAGTTGCAGTAGTACTGGTTGTTTTATTCACGACAGTCCACTAAATGTAACGAAAAGCCTTGACAGTAACATCAATAATATTCAAGCTGATATCACAGATGACAGACCTATCAACATTAGTAGGGTCTTTGTCGTTGAACTTGATGTTGTCAACATGGGTAACTTGTATGATACCGTAACAGCCACCTTTACAGTCAGTATGACCTCCACCTTTACAGTCAGTATGACCCCCACCCCTACAAGTTAGCAGAAACACTTTCTACTGTAACTTCCTTCCTCCTTATCATATTGACCTTGTCTGTATGCACACCTGATGCAATTAACAGTTTTGCTAGATTGTAATGATGAATTATGTAATCCATCTCACAACGTATTTGTTATAGCATGTTAGGCTCTATTGTGGGCTTTGCACTGCCAGTGTGTATGTAGTTTATGTATTATCTTCCCGGCTGCACAAGTGCACATGCATTGTCTAGTGCATGTGCATACCTACACGTACACATGCATGCATGTTTTTTGCTTCATGATGTCCATCTATGAAGGAAGTCATAACTCATTCACTAAATAAACATAGAGAGCTTATATAGCTATATATATTGACAATATTTTGAATTAAATAACTTGTTATATATGCAATCTTTTAGATCTTGTTGCTTGTAGCATGGAAACTATAGTTAGTAGTGATCGTGGTACATTTGAATGGCCAGAAACAGTGTCAGACAGTACAGTTCATATATCATGTCCTAATGGTCCTAGTGGTGCTACTGCTAATAGAGCATGTACTAATAATGGTGCTTGGGAATCACCTAATGTAACACTCTGCCGTGCAATTACTTTGATATCTAATCAATTTAGAAATATTTCTAAGGTAACTAATAATAAAGACTTGATATGTACTTGTATATAATTTCTTAAATTGTATATTCAATAGGTAAATGTTACTACTGAAAATGTAGTATCAGTAGCTGAGAACTTAACGAATTTAGTGGTCAGTACTACTGATGCTGCTGATCAGAATACTGACAACATTAGAACAGTGTCTGCCATATTGGACCAAACAGCAATACTGCTATCAGATCCTATGATAATCATGAATGTCTCATCATCAGAATTATCAATGGTATAGGACATGTTTTATCATTATAGTAATGATTTCTTTGAAGATAACAAAAAATACTGTGCAGATACTTGACAGCTTAGAGGAATGGGCACCAGCTGTAGTGGAGATAGAGTCAAATAAGTAATACTTGTTTTTATGTTCACATGTACATGATTACTTTAATTATATAGTGTTATCAATTCTTTTGAGAGGATCATCGATGCTTTAATAAATCAAGACAATTTTACCAATATAATGGTTGTGAAAAATGGCATTGCTTTAGCAGGAGAAAGTGTAAATCTCATATTGCATGTGTTTTTTAATTTTTTTATTTTATTTTTAATAGTTTCAACAAGCAGTGTTTAATGGAACAGAATTTACTGCAGCTTCTATTGGTAAGCATAGCAAACACTTAAATCTATACTACACATAATTTAAATCATTGTCATATTCATGATATTTATGCCATCACCAATAATTGGGGAGTCCCTTTGAAAAATACCATTGACTATTGTATTCCATATTTTATTATCAGTAATTGAAAATTTGTACTTACATGTATTCTATTTCTGTTCACCAATAGATGACACATTAGAGGTTGATACTCAGGTTGGACAAGACAGTACTAATGGTTTGACCTCGAATGAAATAGCATCAATCAGATTACCACAAAGCATCATAAGCATCATTGAGACTGATACAATTGATGTAGCATTCACACTGTACAATAAATCAGTACTGTTTCCTATCAGAGAGCCTCCCCCTAATACAATAGTGGGATCATCGGTTATTGGTGCAAGAATTGGTAAATTGACTGATGGTACTAAACTACCTGATCCAGTAGTTATTAATCTGGTACTAAATACAACAGGAGTAAGTAAATATCTGTTTATTGATAATGAATACTTTCCATTTTCAAAGAATATTACTAACCCTCGCTGTGTGTATTGGAATTTCACTACAGCAGGTTAAGTTACAGTAGTGATACTATACTGTTAATGTTTATGTATGTGTGTAGGCGGCAGGGGAAACTGGTCTACTGATGGTTGTAATACGACAGTTAATGCAACTGCTAATGATCTCAGTGTCATCAATTGCCATTGTGATCATTTGACCAACTTTGCCTGTCTTGTGGTAAGAAAGTAAATCTGATTCATCCTCTGTAGCTATATACTCTTTATAGGATGTGTCTGCTAGAACTAATGGAGCTACTGAAGCTCCTCAATACTTCACTATGACACTAGAAGTTGTATCAATATATGGTGTATGTCTCTCATTAGTGGGACTAATACTAACAATTATTACTTTGATTATATTTGAGTAAGTATATGTGCATGAAATCATTGTGTATTGCGATTGTTTTGCTTCACAATAGGAAACTAAGGGCAAGGGAAGCTAGCACGTTTCACATTCAACTCTGTCTCTCATTGATTTATATGTTAATAATATTTGTTGTTGGTATTAATAAAGTATCAGTGAGAGCTGGTTGTATAACAGTTGGTGTTCTCATTCATTACTTTGCTCTTGTATCTTGGATGTGGATGGGAGCTGAGGCTTTGCTTATGTTTCAAAAACTAGTCATTGTATTCACAGACATTACACAGAAATACTTAATTGCTGTTTCTATTTTATGCTGGAGTAAGAAATTAATGATTTTGCATTTATAATAATGATTTTTTGTATATAGCTTTGCCGCTTTTGCCAGTTGTAGTCACATTAGCAATTGACCGTGACTTTTACATTTATTTATATGAAAATGGAAACCAGTCTGGATTGTAAGTGACAAATGTGTATTATACTATATAGTTATGTTGTTTTTTCTATATTAGTTGTTTCATTAGTGAATTGATACCCTTTCTTGTTGCTTTTCTGCTTCCAGTTTTCATCATACTGATCTTCAATGTTATAATATATGTTCTTGTTATTCGTGTAGCCATTCTCCACACTGTTGGTAAGAACAAAAGAATGAATAAATCTCCATTTACCAAATCTGATGTAATCAAAATGCTATTATCTTATTTTGGTATCTTGATGCTCTTTGGTCTCACATGGCTGTTTGCTGTCTTCATGTTCATTACTGAGCCTAGCATCTCATTCATGATTCAGTTCTTCTTTGCTTTCTTCAATGCATTTCAAGGTTTCTTTATTTTCTTCTTTTTCATCATTCTAAGCAGTGACTCGAGAGATGCTTGGAAGTCACTTCTCTGTTCTTGGATGGTAAAGAATGGAATGGCATCCACATGCAGTTGTTAAAAATAAAACTTCAAATATTAAAGTTACATCACTACAGGTTGAAAATGCACCAGAGGGTCTATAGTTTCAATTAAAGCAAAAAAATAAAGAAAAGACATGAAAGATTTTGACTTGTTTGTTTTACATTCTTTGTTCTTATCAGAAACTGTTACTAATGTGAAATGCCTAAGTTTATTGTTTTTATCTTTCTAACACATTCACTGTCTTTACTATCATCATCATTTCATTATTATTATTATAGTCTATATTCTTAGTTTCAATTGAGATAATAATTGCTTAAGTGTTTGATTTCCTATTTTTGTAGTGACAATGTTATTTGAATAGTTGATGCCATAAATTCATTTGGTTGAAAGTAGCTCAATAAAAATGAAGAGAGAATCAGTGCTAGTCTTTGTTTTATGTGTTCAGCTGCTCAGGATTGTCCTCTAGATCTGAGATATACTGTATTGTCTAACTTCAGCCCAACATACACTACATTCAACAATGCTGCTTTTACATTTGTCCAGCCTTTGATCATGCTTTGATGTGGTCAAGCAACATGTTGCTTTGAATAGAAAACCTTTCTATTCCTTTCAACAAGGGTATAAAAGAATTAAAGACAAAGGCTGGCAACAGTTACCTATAATTTGAAATAATTTTTAAATAAAAATAATAATTATGATCACATCATCACTCCATATTAATAATTATTATATAAATTTTTATTTTTGTTATTTTTGTGAGGGTATACTAAAGAGAGAGAGAGAGATTAAATACCATTATCTCTATGTTGATTTAATTAATTGGGCTTCTTTCTATCTGTAGTATTGCGTAAAGGGAATGTTTCAACCTGCTGTGTGATCATACCCACAATTAGCGACTCAAAGAGATTCCTCTACCACTACTGGTACCGACCCACCTGTAATCCAATCTGTGAACAAGATAGCGTGGGAAAGTTTCATTTTTTATAATTTTAGTGTACGTCTAATGCATTTATGTCATGTCTAGTATTATTTGACTTTACTGTATAGCTAATGAGTTATGGGAAATTTAGAGTTTAACTTAGCTATGTTTTAATTTTTGCAAATTGACTCTAAAAGTGATTTGGTCGTTATATATTTTAGCAAAATTTTGATTACCTGCATGGTTCTGTAGACCTCTGTCATGTTTGAGATTTAATCTTAGCAAATGGACCTCAATTTGCCAAATTCACCAACTTTATACTGTTTAGAAATCAAGTCAATTTATTTCATTCTTTTTGCCATACATAACATTCTAATTTAAGGTGTGGGTGTTAATTGTTTCTGACCACACTTACTGTAGTTAATTGATTTAGTGTTTATTGCCACACCCACTAAAATTAACTCACACGTACGCACCCACACACATACATGTACTACACACACCCACATTGTCTTAATTGTGTGTTAGTGTATTGATGAGGATTCCAGAGTAAGGGACTGTTTTACTAATGCGACTATTGAATTATAGAAAGATTAATTTCGGGGGAATTCTTTAGTTTAACTGTCTTCACATAAACTACAGTGTATGTATTCCTTCACAATTCACATACAATAAATACACAATATCTATGCCACACATGCATTTTATTACATGAATACGTCTTGCCATTTCTTTCTTTATCTTCTATTTGACTTCACTCCTCTCTCTCTCTCTCTCTTCTCTCTCTCTCTCTCTCTCTCTCTCTCTCTCTCTCTCTCTCTCCCTCCCTCCCTCCCTCTCTCTCTCTTCCTTTCTTTGTCTATACTAATCCACCTGTTTTATTCAGTTAGTAACCGACACTGCTTAGTTAGCTAAGTCCAGAAATTACGACTTCAAAGTGACCAATTCACACCTGTAAGTTGTGGATATAATTATATGTGTTATACTAGGATATTCTAGTACACTCTTAGGATATTATTTTATTAATAGCTCTTATTCTCGACTATAAATGCAATCAATTTGAAATGTTAATGACAACATTCAGTACAGCTGGAATAAAATTTAAAAATCTTCAGAGGGTAAGTCCCTTGTGATGACTATCACATCTCTCAATTGTATTGTCACCAGCCAAGTGGAGCAATTTGTGGAATCTGTAATAGTGATAACAATTACTTTATATGCACATACATGGGGATTAACCTATTTTTTCTCCTCCTCCTCCTCTCTCTCTTTCTCTTTTCTAGTTATTACTCAAAACATGGAGTGACAGGCACTTAACAGGGCAAGACAGGTACATGTACTAATATTATGAAGATACCGTATGGCGGGAAATTTTCGAAGATAACAAATTTCGCGGATTTTTTCATGTTAAATTCCTTGAAAATCAATTTAATACGGTACAAGATGGCAGATTAGTGGAAATTCGCGAAAATTAATTTTGCAAACTTTCGGACACGGGTCATTCGCGAAATTTATTATCCACGAAAAAAACCCGCTATACGGTACTCACATACATGCACATGTAAACCATTTGTAAAAGGAAACTAGGTTCATGTAGATCTACTAATTCACATGTAAATGTTACCATAATACATTTGATGTACAGTGTATGTGTACATTAATTGATACAAGGTCTTAGAAACACAAGTTAGTATAGTACATGTACATGTACAGTACATGTACATGTACAGTACATGTACACATGTACAGTATATTGCTAAACTATTAAGAAAAATGCATATATACAGTATACATGTTACATGTACATGTATGTGTGTCTGAGTTAAAAATAGACAGATAAATAATAGAACATAATAGTATACAGTGTTTGTGTACATGTAGTTTAGTAAACCCTCCCATCTGAGAGAGCTTGCTCATGAGATTGGAAAGAGTGACAGGGATGATGGTAAGATGAGTGTGCACCTCTGAGACACATAATGGAGCTACATGTACATGTATATGCTTAGTGCTCTTAACAAATCTCAATTCATGAGTATTATACTGTATGTAGATAACAGAGCCTGAAATAACAGTCAGACATTGAACATTTTCTGACCATTTGCTCAATTGTTCAACCAAATTCTATCTTATTCTACCATTTTGTGTCTGAACTATATAATTTTTGAAATAAATTTATTAAAAGCAAAATAATGCAACAACATGTTCTACCGCAGGGTTTCCCACAAAGCATGAAAAGAGAATGAGCTTTATGAGCTGACAAGCACTACAATAGGGTACGTGGCATTTGGAGCAACTTTTAAAATTCATAAAAAATTCAAATTTAATCGGAATCAGTCCAAACTTTCTACACAGCATAAGAACATGTATATGTATGAGGAAAGATTATTAAAATGGAGAATTTTCTACTTTTAATTTTTGACGAAATCTGGCCAAAGTCCCTGTATATAGTACAGGGACTTAGGCCAGATTTTTGAACAACTTTAACAATTCGTAAAAAATCTAAATTTGATTGGAACCAGCTCAAACTTTCTACACATCATAAGAACATGTATATGTATTAGGAAAAATTGTAAAAATTGAGAATTTTCTACTTTTAATTTTTGACGAAATCTGGCCAAAGTCCCTGTACTATAGTACAGGGACTTTGACCCGATTTTTGAGTAACTTCGAAAATTTGTAAAAAAATTTAACTTGATCGGAATCAGCTCAAACTTTCTATACAGCATAAGAACATGTATATGTATCAGGAAAAATTATAAAAATTGAGAATTTTCAACTTTTCATTTTTGACAAAATTTGATCAAAGTCCCTGTACTATAGTACAGGGACCTTAGCCTGATTTTTGAGCAACTTTAACAATTCGTAATAAATCCAAATTTGATCGGAATCAGCTCAAAGTTGATACACAACATAAGAACATGTATATGCATCAGAAAAAAATATAAAAATAGAGAATTCTCTCCTTGTGATTTTTGTCTAAGTACCCTGTACTATAGTGCTGGGTCTTAGGCCCAATTTTTGAGCAGCTTGGCAATCCACTGACAAGAAGCTGCATGAGGACTACTGTATGCCAAAATCCTGTAGGAAATCCTGTCTGACCGTTTTATGTTTTATAAAAGTGGCTGGTCAAATTAAACTATGTTCAGACACAATGTCTGAATATTGTTTAAATTTAATTTCAGGCTCATCACGTGATTATAGTAGCTACAATAGGCTATACATTAACAAACTGGATCAGCTTAACATGTCTTTGTCTCTTATTCTTTTATGAGTGTGTGTCACTATTGAGTCTGTTTATCTTTAATGTGACACTAATGGGTGTTGGTATGTCCATTGTGTGGCTACACAGCAACTAGCATATACAATATACATGTATTCTATTAAATATGTGTGTGTGTGTGCGCGCGTGTGTGTGTGTGTGTGTCCACTGTTTGCATAGCCTGTGGTTACTGGTCTGCATAGTGTCTGTATCAATTCATGACATCATAGAAATGTGAAATCTTTCCCCTAGTTGACTATTATGGTCAAGGCTTTGTGTAAACAGTTTTTAATTACCACTTGTAGCTTTATTTCTCCATGTCCATGTTTTTGTTTACACGGGATAAGCATTATAACTTCATGTGTGTGCATGTACATGAATGTAATAAAGAATGTGAAGTATTCTGTGATTGATGAGAGAGAGAGAGAGAGAGAG